GTACATGGATGAAGTGACGTCTTTTACAAGTAAAGTACCCTTAGAGCGCTCTATCAAGCCGCAACATACCCACCCGGACGCCCTCCGCGCCCGCAGGCCCCCAAATGGACGAGCGTAAATGATGCTCGTATCACTTCATTTGCGAATACAATATGAAGGTATTGTGATATGAAGCGGCTACGGTGCTGCGAGGTAATTGAGTACATGCAGCGGTATCTACCGTAGCGGTCATTGGCACGATGCTAACAGGAAGCTCGTCCCGAAATTGCCTTCTGAGACGCAAAAAATGAAGGCTTTTCTCGCAGGTTCTTGAAAGTCTCACTCCGCTTTTTTTGCCATTTCTCCCCTACATAGCATCCCTGCTTCCTTTTAGATCGATTACCAAATTATCGTGCCATTTGCCTGCGTAGCATTTTTCTAACTCTTGAAAGCGGATAGCGCCTATGCTCAACAAGTGTGTCCAGTTTTTAAAATTCCGAAATTATGTTCGCATTTGTTTAAATATTTAGCACAGCTAGTTGCCTCTTTTTCGCAAAAATTCCATGCAGATTCACCGATGTAATAATATTAGTTGCAGACCATCTATTTGTTTTCATAGATTAGCTCTATAAGTGCTCGTAGATATTTGTGTGAACCTATACTTCCTTGTACCCCGTCAAAGCAATTCTTCCGTATGGAAAGTAGTATTGCTGATGCTCACTCATCCTACGTGTCTGGTAGCGGATTAAGCGGGTCGTACCTGATATTCATCGTACTCACGAAATACAATAGCAGACCGCTTTGGCGGCGTTTATTATGCAGGTCATGGCATATTTGTTCTCTTGTGTGAGGTCGATGATACGCGGGCATCGGATGCGTGGATCAGTTGGAAAGTAGCCCGCGATAGCAGCGGTATGTATGACAGATCCCGCTAAAGTACACTGTTGTAATGCCAAGGTCAGATTGCAGTTTGGTCGAAGGATTATACTTATAGATCGGGAGTGCAACTGGAGAAAGTTTAGTTCGCTGTTTGAAAGTTCGAGGACATTATAGCTCAGCAATGAGCGACTAGGTATCCAATCGGGTCCTGATTGCCTTTCTGAAGCTTACCTTTCTAACTTTGCTGGAATCGGTCATCTCCGACGTCCTTGATTTTAAAGGGAAAACGGAAGTGTGCCGTGACTATCACATCTATTCGCCGCGTCAGTCGACAGTGGGCATAGTAGCAACGGTACAGCTGATCTTAATTCGTCATCACTGTGAGGCATCGATGAGAAGAAATTCTTTGGAAACTGCGCAGAAAGCAGAAATTCGCCTAAATTTTGGTGCTTCTCAGGACGCGCGGAAGAAGCTACGATTTTTCCGTGGAACCGCCTTGTCCCCTTTGCCTATATTCCAGCTTATAATAATAGCTTGGAACGGGGCTAGCGTAGTGGCGTGTGACACGCTTATCACGCGCATGGTCCGGGAACCAAATCCTGGATCGGCTTTCGTCCAGGTCAACCAAGCCTTCTACCCTCCGATGTCAATTGGCATTTGATAAGACACAATGCATTCAGGAAGCTGCTAAGATTCTTAATGGAAATCGGATGCGTGCCGTATCCCACAAACGGAGACGAAACAGTGAACTACCTGGAGAACTGGACGGAAGCACGTAGGAAATGAGGTTGAAACGAAAATCAGAGTAGATCATTAGTATCAGTTTCACCGAATAGATGAGAAAGATTTTCGAAATAATGAATCCCTTGAAAGTGCACTGTAAGTGTGCAGGAATCAGTGTGATGGCTGGGCAGAAAAGTTTGCATGTTGAGGAATCGGGAATCCGAGAGAGAAAGAGGAAAACGTTTTACCTACTTTTACTGAATATGCGAGATATTCTCTTTCGTTGTTTTTTTTTGTTTAGAAGGCTGTTTGCACCCACTGCACCCGACGTCCTCTGCTTTTCAGTTAGGTATCAGGTTGCGAAAAAATTCCTGCAAGGTATCCCTTGGTAAACATTTTGGGCGTAGCCTGACGCAACCATCCGTGGGTCGACTACAAATCTAGGCTTAATCAATTTGTCAACATATTCGTGGTCTCGATACCCGGGGAAGGCTTCTACGATGTATCTCACCAGGGGTGCCCGTCTCTATGTGGTCCTCCCCGCATACTACATAGAGAGAACATTTTGGCAGGTGGCTGGCAATGAAAGTAACTTGCACATAAGCCTCATTGGTCTCTACTGGGGAAAGTCGTCTGCAGAGCGAAAAGAAAGTACAGTTGATGTTAGCACAATCGGTCGTGACGATGTCAGGAAGCATGGGGTGAGCCCACCTGCCGCTTCCGTTCTATACCGATAGTTATGAAGAAAGTTTTCATGTGTGGCTGGTGCAACTGGGAAGGGGTGCTGCTAACCGCTGGTACGACTGTCACGAAAATGGTTTTCTTGACTGAAAGGTGGCTGGCGTCATGTGTGAACTTCGCTCAAAAAGGGCGAATATCTTCCTGCCGCGCGACAACGCGCGCCCACATGTGCCCATCATAACATGTTGAAGAATTATGTGTTTCGATCACGAATTTAAAGGCAGTTGGCACGATAATTTGGTACTCGGCCTAAAATGCTAGCAGGGCGCTATATAGTGGGGAAAATGGCGAAAGAACGGAGTGAAACGGTCAAAATCCTGCGAAGAAAAAGCCTTCGTATGACTTAAAAATCAATTTCGGACGAGTTTCCCGTAGGCATCTTGCCAATAACCGCTACCGAAGATAGCTGCATGTGTGTACTCATATATCCATGCAGCACCACGGCCGCTTCATACCAATCCCTTCGCTTCATAATTTGCTTAGCAAATGAATCAATACGAGCGTCAGGAACGGTCGTCCATTTGTGGGCGGGCGGGCGTGGTGGGCGTTCGGGTCGGTATGTTGTGGCTTGATAGGGCCTTATAAGGGTACCTTCCTTGGAAAAGAAGGTACGCAGCGCCTGTTCAGGACTCACGGAATAGCACGGGATTAATACGGCTGTCATGCCAGTCGCATTAACCCTACTCGCCTTTACGGATTTATCGTGCCACCTGCCTTTAGGGATCCCCAGTCCATTCGCCAGCCTTAGCAGTATGCTATAACTCTTAGCAGTAGCGCAGAGTAATAAAGTCGTTGCTAATTGACGTCAGCTAAAGAACGCGGTCAAGAGCTTCTCATCATAGTGATCCCGGAAAAAAAGAAATCAAGAAGCTTTTCAACAAATAGCACTGTATTGGATATTCGATGAGATGATATCTGATTTAAAAATCCTCTGCAAGTATTGCTGGACTGCTTTTGGACTTTCCCACTCTTATGGACTGATGGGGCATGTGGAGGAGATGTAAACGTATCAGAGAGTAGCATAGAGTGACGTACCAAAGCTGAGCAGTGGATGTCACGTGCAAAGAAAAACTGCTGAACAAGTAAAAACCGAACAGTTTAGGAATGGAGGTGAAAGAGGAAATGGAAGAGAAAGAATTGGCCCAAGCCACTGCTTTTTGCTGGTGTCCCTATCGTTTGTCTGTGGTGTGCATATTGCATATACATGCATTGAAACCGTAGGGATAACACGGGGGTCACTCAGGTTCCTCGTGCTCTAAAAGATGATGGGCTCACAGGGCATCTTCGAAGAGGATATAAATTATTAGTGTCCAACTTCTCTCTTCGTAAAACCTCGGCATTGTTGTTACGTTTGATAAGTTCTTCTGTGCACACGAGGTTGGTAGGTGGAACTTTTATTATGGCCTGACGTTTCGACTAGATCGTCTTCATCAGAGGCCCAGTCCACCACAGCGAGAGCGGAAGTAGCCGCTCAGTTAGTTGTTAGTACAATGCATATAAATAATAAGATATAAATTGTGTAGGAGTGGGGATGACGTTGTGAATATAAATACTTTTCGTCCTTTCAAGATGTGCTACTGTGCCCAACAAAAGCTTTTCCGTTGAAGCTCAGTCGAGTTTTCGAATTCTCGTGAAACTACACATTGATTTGGCTATCTATCGGCTCTTACATACCTTACGAGAGAATTCAAGTGCTTGGTAAGACAGCTGATTTCGATTGTGTCCAAGCGGATTCCCAAAATGCCAGTCTTCTTTCCCCTTTTCCTTCAGAGTTCTTTAAGTGAACAACAGAATTAATTGGATTGTTGTGAGACAGCAATGAATTCGAAATTCCCTATGAATATCGATGGATGTCATTCTTAGCATTCTTGAAGACTGGTTCCCGGGCTCATTATCACTCTGTTATAAAATTTAGTCCGTCACTGTTGTTTACATAGAGGAGCGTTAAAAGATGTACGAATTCACACTTCTGTTGTAGCAGAGATATGAAGCGCAGTGTCGCTGTGTCTGGGGCTTATTTTCTGGCTAAAAGGTTGGAACAAACCTCATAGGTCCGGTGCTTTCCTGCTCAGTTTTGCTCTATAATGCTTTGTCTCCTACTGTATCATCCGCACTCTCGTTGGAATAACTTATTACGCGCCCAAATCGTTAGATCCCCCAAATCTCACAAGTTCTGACTTTTCTCATCTGCGTAATTGCGTACCATAGTAAGAACTCGGATCGCGGTGGCGGTTTGGGCGTCGTTTCCCTCGTGTCTTTTTGTGTGCTCGCATATTTGATGTGCGACTTGAAGGGCGACGCGATATGTCGCGATGCGACTGGCGTTCCACTGCGTGCCAGGCATCGCACCATGCCGCGCGATGTACTCTTCTTTTTCTTCGGCGACGGCCTTGTCTTGAGCAAGTTGGGCGCACGGCCAACAATTTTCGCGCTGTCTGCTATGCGCTCGATTGACTCGCTGCAAGTGGTCGACGTTCATTGGCTGTGCGCCAAATCGGCCTTATTTAGGTGCCCGCCTAGGCGCTGAATGAGTTTCGCTGGTCAAAGATTGTCACGGCGGAAGTGTAGCGTTCGTAGTGGGTGTCGTGCCAGTCGTTACTTGTAACGGAAATGTTCGCGATGACAACATGCATTGAACATGAATGGTCAGCTGCAGGCCACTCGTTTCATTACGCATCACTCGAATGTCGTACGAGACGAGTCACAGAGTGGCTGAGCGCAAACCCGAATGCGACTTTTCGAACAAATTAGCAATGTATGTACAGACGTGGAATACTTTATTCAGGTGACTTGTTGCCGTTTGTTCTCCAGTCATGTTTAATGGGCATTGCGAAAATGGTCTTGCTTCGGACAGCTCTGTCGTGCATCGTTGCGATGATGACGAATACAAACACTTTTCGCCCTTGCACGCTGCACTCTGTCGAGCTACACTTTGGTCGTTGCTTTGGCGACTTAGTGCCTAATCCACTGCCGCTTTATTTGCATCAGTGACTCAATGACTTGGTGCCATGTCAAGTCCACTTGGAGGTCGGCTGTGCTTTGTTGAAAATAAATGGGGCGCAGTTCGGCGACCGGGGGGGGGGCATTTTGCACTTCTCTCTGCTTCACTAGTTCCGGTTTACAAGTCTCACTGAGGTGAAACCTGTGAATAGCGAAGCTGGAGCAAGCCCCTTCGAGCCACCACGGCGATACCTGTCAACCCTTTAAGCTCGCGAAAAGGCCTTCTAGATAGGTCGGCACGTCAATGTGAAGTTGCAAAAGTGCAAAATGCCCTGCCTTGTCGCCGGACTGTCCACTAAATGGAATGGAATTTTTGTTTTTCGCTTACCAGAGAAGTCTGCCAAGTTACCATGGAACTTTGAATGGAGACCTGGGTAGATCGAGTCTATAAGGTTATTTACAAATATAGATAGCAAAACTGCAACCTGCATTTCACAAGCAACTTATGAGCAGGTAAAGTTTGTAATGGTGCAGTAAGTGGGGTCTTGGTGGTGAGCGCTGCTCATAAGTTGCTTGTGGAATGCAGGTTGCAGTTTTGCTATCTATATTTGTAAATAACCTTACAGACTATCGATCTACCCATGTCTCCATTCAAAGTTCCATGGTAAGTTGGCGGACATTCCTGGTTAGCTTCTGGCAAGAAGGAGAAACCCTTGCTCTCAGCTTCTGGCAAGACTGAGAATCCCATGGTGTCAGCTTCTGGCGAAACCGAGAAACCCACGGTGTTCGCATTGGAGGCTTTCCATCACTTTACAGCAGAGTGCACATTTGTCCCTGTGTTATCATTCGCTGTTTCACATTTCCAATGGAATGTGTTCGCATCCACCGCCTACCCACCCGTTGCAGCTGCTTTTTAGTGCGTTCGATTGCGAATGCCATTGGTTGCTTGAAATAGTGAATAAATGCGTTCCACTACTTCGCGACAGCTGCGTCCGAACTATGCCAAGTGTTCTGGTATAATGATTTCTTCCCCGGAAGTCTTTCTGTTACAGATATGAGCAACAGCTGTGTCTCGACTGGGGTGTGGATAATGTTTCCGGTAACGCAAGCTATATTAAAAGAATAGGTGAAGGACAAAGGTGTTCTGGCTTTCGGAAAGTATGTATAAGCGTCCATGATCAGCATCCATGATCGACTTTCAATGAATCTTGGCATCGTGTGAGGTCCTTCTGATTAGATGTTTAAAACCACAGCCAAGATATTAACAACTTTATTTGGCTGACGTTTCGGCCTTGTCGCCTTCGTCGGAGCCTGGAAAGTCAAAGATAAGGTGACCTACCGCCGAATGCCATTTCAGACTTAAGAACAGCTCACCATAGACTAAAGGCGTCTAGGGAGGTCTCGTAGCTCACAAGCACAAACCAACTAACCTTAGGAGAGCACGGCTAGCTTGAGTTTCGACCACCGCTAAACTGACTCACTGTGGGTGGCTTCAGCTGACCCAGCCCTTCGACCCGAAGCCGATGGCGATTGAAGCCCACACAGGTCAGCGAAGGGGGCGAGCTCACTTGTTATGGCTAGGCATTCATCTTTCCTGTTCAACTTGGGGTTTTTGGCGCGCATGTATGTGTAACATTCGCCTAGTTAATGATATTAAATGGGATAGTTTGAGGTAGGTGAGGGTCGTTTTGGGATACATGACACTCTTATCTTGCCTGGATCTGCAAGAAATATTCATAGGGACGGATAGGCACAGCTGAAAACATCGCAGTTTGGCGGCCGATGTCAGGAAGCGTGGAAGGAGCCCACCAGTTTCTAGCACTGCTTGTTTTCTACCAGACCGACAAAGGTCAATTGGTTGAAAATACAGGCGTTGATGGATTCATGCCGCGCCTCATGACGTGGAAGTTGCGAAGATATCATTAAACTTACATAGTCACAGAAAGGCTTCGCATCAGTAAGGGGTGGCGAAGGGTTCAAAACTCACTGGAAAATGCAGAACAGGTCTTGCTCAGCAATGTTATATTGTTCAGTATTCAGACTGTTCTTCTTTTTTTGCAGGGTCAAGCAGATAAAGGCTTCCGACGGCTCACGAAAAGTCAACCTGTGGGTCTGAAATACATCGGGATCGTTCTTAGTGTTGCTGATGAAAAAGTGGTGGGTGTCGTTTTCGTAGAAACCCTTTGTGAAATGTATAAATGTCCCTAATTTAGCACAGCTCTATCTCATTATCTTCACTATTTCTTACAATAACATTCAGGACTCATCTGGAAATGTTAACGAATTGCTGGTCAGGGCGGCGCCGTTGACAGAAGAAAATAAGCCGAAAGCGTTTGTACATTGGGTTTCACGGCCGGTGTCTGCTGAAGTACGACTATATGAACGATTGTGAGTATACTTGTTAATGAATCAATCTTGGGTGCTTGGAGAAATGAATGACCAACAGCAGTCGAAACTTATCGTTAAGAGTTACGGATATTGTACTGTTAATCTCGCCAATGTGTTTAGTGGGATTTGGTGGTGTAGTGGCAAGTGATTACGCGTGCCGTGCAGAAGTCGAATCACGGATCGGCTCCCGCTCAGGCTAACCTAGCCTTTTGTTCCGTTGGTGGTACATTGACACCATTCGTCTGCATGGATGAGAACGTTGAGTTGTGCCTCGACTGATCCTCGCAAATCATTGTATAGGCCATATCATATTCAGTAAGCCGCTGCGATTTCAATGGGAGTAGAATGCGTTTCGCGTCCTGATGAGGGATTTATCAGCTAGTAATCAAGCTTTCCGTCAGTGAAAGCATAGAAGAAGGCTAAGGGAGCCTGACTGAAAAATGTTAAAAAAATCTAGTCAGGTCAGCGCATGCTGTCCTAGAGGGAGGCGGGTAATGGCAAGCGACGTGGGTACCTTAGTCATGCTCCTTCCCATGACTTTTGCCCCGAATCCACACAGTCCAACAGTTTCTGGTCTCAGACCTCTGTGGTGTATTTCAGTTGATTTCGGTTGACAGCAGCGCAGTTGGGGATGATTAACTACCGAGTTGTACGTCAGCTGTTTTCCTGTAGGCCAATTACGCAATTAACTTCTAGAACTTGAGACGAACCTTACGAGTGCATGGCGCATCGTAAAATAAGGCATCATTCCGAGCCATTCTATTCTTTACTCCTCGCCAATAAAGCTCAGGATGTTTCCTCCGAGTACCATTGTTGGCAGTGTGATTCGTGATTATTGCTTGAAGTCAAAACTTTTGTCAGTTCCCTCCCTATCGGTGTGAAGAAAACTCAGATTTTTCCTGGAAATATATGGCGCTGGTCTCTGGTTAGTGTTCCAGTCTCGCACGCTTAGCAGTAGTGCCTCTTTGGATCGCAACCACCATAACTAGTCGAAGTTGCGTTTCACCGTAATTGGTCCTCATGGTTTGCTTCTCTTCCGAAGTTTGAGCTTGGCAAGCGCTGAAGTACCTCGTTCGCTGTCTTGGACATCTTAAAAACGATCGCATTAAGCGGAACGCCTTTGTTTACATTTAATCCCCGTTGAAATACTTTCTCGAAATATGTATTCTATGAAGAGCGAGCGCATGATTTAGTTGGTTTCATAGTAGTCTCACGGTGGCCCCGTGACTAGCACGATGTGGCGATATCCACGTGATTTTACGGTATTACTTGATGTTTACTCAATATAGCTTGATTACCGTGGCGGAAAGCACTTTTAGCCTTTCATCACAGGATTACATGATTCATTCCAGAAATGGCTATGTTTCATGCGTATAAAATAGAGTAGGATTGTCAAGAAGGCCCTCGCTTGTTGAAATTGTTAATCAGCCGACTGTTAATTAGTCGTCTGCAGAAGTCCTGTTGTGTGGACAAATAGCTTCAATTCGGGGACGTTGGATTTTTGCCTTCGTTTGCAGCTCTGAAAGCGTTGCTCTGCATGCCTTGCAAAGCTCACGGTTAGCTGGGATTTGTTGTAATATACATATGTGTAATGACATAGAGACCGATTCTGATCATTTTTCTCTTCACTGCGTTTGGAAGGTGGTCTGTAAATAAAGACAAACTGCGCTCATTTCCGAGGACTGTCCTCCCATCCTCTGAGGAGAATCGGTACGCGGCCGCAGTAGCGTACCACTCTTTCCGCTCGGAAGTGCACAGGAACGGGCTGTCGGGTAGTAGTATCCGACCCACTTACGGCAGGGGACATGATCTACGGAATGAGTGTTCAGCTTGTCGTCGCGGGAGTCTGTCCCTTTGGTTTTATAGGGTTTCAAAAAAGCGGGTTTTTTTCCAATCTTCCTTTCTTTTCTTTTCAAGTTTTTCTATTTCAAAAAGAGCAAAAGCAAACGAAATGTGAGTAACATTCACTTCTAGTATGCTGCAAACGGAACATTCTTAAGAGGATGAATTCGCTACTCTGCCATAAACTTATGTAAACGTCGAAACTTCGTCGTGATTGTATACGTTCAACACAGCGCTCACAGCGCTTCCACTAAAAAGTCATACGCGCTTTATGCAGTGAGAACCACTGCAGGCTTAGTGTAGTACCATCGGATTACCCTTTTCATCGCACTTCGTAAGATTACGGCAGGAAATTGGAAGTCAAGACAAGACTAGCGAACAGAACATTGGTAGATAACGGAGACACAAGTACGCTTAGTGGAGAGGAGCAGTTAGAGAACTTCCCGTGGGAAACATAGACTGCCGTAATGGAGATGGGGATTTGTGGTTTAGCTTAGCAGGTAAGGAGCTCCAAAAATGTGAACCTGGTCCTTTGTACCGAAAAGATTACGCTTTACTAACCCTGGTTTTGACAAGAGGTTCACTGGAGCCACCCTTTCTCTCTGGTGGACCTGCGGCATAGTGTGCCTTCAAAGCCATTATTCCTCCACTAAGTTTTCGTTTTTGATTGTACCTGACGGAAATACACTACGTGATTTTGGGAAATTACCCAGACTACTGACATTGTCGGCATTTATGGAAATTCAGAGCATAGATATAGTTGTGCTGGCCCATCATTAGTCTGATCCCTACTAACAGCCGACAACGCCATTTAAAGCGTTGTCGATTATTATGCATGTGATCTGGAATCACACCATGGAGGTAATACTGTATACGACGCGAGGTGCGTAAATCGTGTCGGATTATCACAGTCGCCCGTCGACAACTACGTCCATGAAGTGTTGCCGTCGTCATCGACGGGTTGGATCATATGTAAATGCGCTTATGTGCCTGTCAAGGCACAATCGATGCTATGTCTATGTAAGTGAATTAGATTATAGACGCGGAAATTGGAGTGCTAGCGATAGCTGAGCTAGCCGGATAGACTTTAGTTGGCAATGTACTAAGAAGCCGTCGACATGATGGAGAGAGCAATATAACTGGGAACTGCTTGGAACGAGGCGGCACGGTTGCACCGCGCCTGGCGTGTGAAGATTCTTCCTAGTAGTCACGTCAACGTCTCCGAGCCTGCTTGTGCCCTTGCCTCCTTTCACGCTTCGAGATTTTGCCCTTAATTCTTCCGCTTGTACGAGGTCCATATTAATATCTCTGCTCCTCACTCTGTTTCATTGCAGCTGTAAATGATGGCGTAGTAAGCACTGAGGCGTTATTTAGTCTTCAGTGCCTCCAGTTTCTGAAGTTTGGGTCTAGCCTTCGCTTCGTCCAGAAATTCGTCCCGAAAGATAGTCTGACCTTCTGAACACGAATGTTACATACGTTTGGCACGAACTGACTAAGGCCCGCTCCACAGCCGCCGGCGCCGCTATGCCTTGGATCACCAAATCATCTAACAGCTTTTGCCCATTTGTGCTAAAAAAGTTAAGATGGCACCTCTTTCTTGTTGTCTGCGATAGAAGCTCAATTCGCTAAGAGCTCAGCTTCAGCAGGGGTAGGAATCACTATCTCGGATGAAGGGTGCAGCCGAGCAGAAAAGGGCGCGCCGCCGTTCCCACATCCTGAAGTCCGTTAGCACCTAACTCAGTGTGATATTTATGTCCTTAGAGGTCCAGACCACATCTAAGGACACGTTTTCAGCGAGCTCGATGATTAGGGGTAGATTGGCCGGCGCTTGCGGCGCGGCAGCCAGAATACCTTCCCACCAGGCCTAGAATGTATTCGTTTTCAGTGGTTTAAAATGCCTCTGAAGACAAATTACCAGCGTAAACCACTTACAGATAAAGGGGTCGATAAAAATGTGTCCAGTTTTTCCAAGAGTGGGGCAGTAAATGGTGAACAGTGCCAGCATACTTATAGTGCCGAAGCTTATTCCCTCGTTACCATTCCTCCAGCAGTTTTGGTTCCTGGTTTCGGTGGAGGCTTTGCTACCAGCGTTGTGCAGCGTTGTATCCACACTGTTGTTGATGTTTATTACCTAAGCAGCCGCAAAACATGAGGATTCAGTGCGCTCGCTATGAAGTGGAATGTTGACAGTGGCTTTATCTGAATACCCACGCTTTTTCATTGGGTTACACAAACAAGCTTTTGAAAAGCAAGGAAAACTGTTTGAATAACATGACATCCTTACTCAACGGATCATCTTCTATAATAGATAGTGAACAACAAAAACATGTTGTTTGTGGCTATCTGAAGCTTCGTCTGGGAGGGTTTCTATGAGAAAACTGCAGACATAGACAAAGACAATTATACAGCAAAAGCCTGTAAAATATGGTAAGCTTCTAGAAAGGATTTCGGAAATCTCTTGTTCTCGATGATTTGGGTGGTGCAGTTTTACACAGAGCCGATACCAAAGTCGCGAAGAGGTATTGATAGATTTCAAAATGGTAACACTTTTCGGCTGTGCTGTCATTTCTTCAGTTAGTAAAGTAGGGGTTGTTGAGTTCTTGATCAAAGTGAATCAGCAGGAAGAGAATCTCAGGCGTCCTTAGTCCTCAGTGAAGTGCTGTGCAGCAGCCAGATGAAGGAGTCCGCAGCTGCAATAGCGTGCCACTTTTTGCGCTCAGGCTCAGGAACAGGGCTAGAGGGAGTGCAGTGTCCACACTCATGTGTACCCTTGACGATCGATAATTTACTGATTTTCTCGAATAATGTAATCCGAGAGATCTCTCATGATTGACGGTAAGCTAGTAGTTTAGTTAGTAAGCGCGTTGGATTCTACTCCTTTATGGCATGATGAGACAAGTGACGAACTTGTCTGTATGTTCAAGTCGCCTCTGAAGCCTGCTGTGCTATGATTTTTGAAGAAATCGGTGTTCGTCCGCTTTTGAAACTGAAATTTAACACACTATTAGAAGAAACTACTGCATCTTAGTGCTGTCCAAGCCTGGCTAGTTCACACTTCGAAAGCCCAGAGATATGGGAAATGGAATTCTTAGCAGTTACCGTCCTCTCTTGTTTTACACAGTCCATTCCTAAACTAATCGGTATGTGAGTTCAGATGGTCAA